GCTACTCCCACCTTTCGCCTCCTGAACCTCCTCCTTCCAAGGTCGAGTTCCAACCCTCACCACCACCACATGCTGCACTATCCTCGCTGTACCCACTCACCCATCTCTCTTTTCTTTCACCCGAAATTTTGTAAGCTAACATGAGTTGTTTTCAGTGCCTTATATTTGCTTATCTAACGTCATGGTAAACCCATGAGGTTTTCAGCCCCATTATATAGACGGGCAGACTGAGACCCTGCAGTATTGTTACCTGTCTGAGGTTACTTGGCACTGAGTGGTTTCCACGTGCTCTCAAGCACCTCTATGTGCCACAGGCTGGCAGGCGCAGGACAAATGCAGGCTCTCGATGGACACAGGGAGAGATGAGAATCTCTCAAGACCCCTCAGAGCCCCAGCCAGAAGCAGTCCCTGCCGTGCTGCAGACGGGAGGATGGGGGCTGCCATCTCATCTCAGGCACCCAGGAAGAACCTGGGAAGAACCACTCACAGCTACTGTTAATTTGGTGGAAACCAAGTCGTGGTGTGACTTCCGGCAACAGGCTGGGGTCTGGGGGGCCGAGCTCCCTGCCCCCAGTGCCCACCCACGGCCTGTCTGCAGGGCTTCCCTGTGCAGTGGACCAGCCCCACTTGGGGAGGCTCCTGGCGGCGGCAGGTGAGCAGATGTCAGCCAACTGGGCCCAAAGCGAGGGGGCCGGGGCACAGGGCCTTGCAGGCTCAGCAGCTGTGCGCCTGAAGGGCAGAAGCCTGGGGAGGAGGCCTCCTCCCCAGCGAGTGTGCCCTTTTCCCCACCACTGCCACCCAGGGGTGGCAGCTGGGGCCCAGCAGCAGCTATTTTTAGCCCTTGACACCTGGGTATTTTGCAGCCGCAGGATGTCCGGTTTGGAGTCTCTTTCTGGGAATCCCACAGGCGGCTGCTGTAAGCAGCCCCACGCAGTGGTGACTGCGCCGGAGTCAGCACAACCACCCCGCCCAGTTTGAGATGAATCAAACAGGAAGCAGATGTAACCATGGCAGCGGCAGCTTGAGGTCCCCAGGGTGGGTAGGTGCCTGCTCCCGGCTCCTTGGTCCCTGCCCCAGACATGCCATTGACCCTGGTGGCCTCTCCCATGGCAGAGACCTGGCTGATCTGCACAGGGCTGCAGGTGGCTCAAGTTCGGGCACCCCTCAGCTTTCCCTGGACACCCTCCGCCTGCATCCACTTCCTGTCACTGAGGCGTCCTCATGGCTCGGCCCTGACCAGGGAGGCAGCTCCTGAGTAGCAGGCTCCTCCCGCCCAGCCTGCCCTGGAAACGCTCAGAGATGGACAGATGTCTCCCGTTCTCCCTCATCTCCCTCCTCTGGCACCGCCTATCCCTCGGATAGGAAGCTCACTATGAAGTCTACCTTCCGACTTTTTTATCCTAAGCAAAACATCCTGAGTAGGCACGGTTTGTGGACCACCTGAAGGTCGGGGTCAGTCTGGGTTCTGCCGCTTCTGCCTTCCCTCCTCCCTCACCCTCTCGTGCCCCATTTAGACGGGCTGCTCCCTCTTACCAGCCAGCCCAGCCAGTCTTTCTCAAGTGCTTGCCCCAACAGGAAACATGGTCACCGCCCTGGGGCTGCCTCTGGGGTGGCTTCTCCCCTCTGAGGCTCCGCGTGCAGCCTGCCTCCCGCACAGCCCACTCCTGCCAGCCACAGACCCACCTCCCCGTGCTGCCCGAAGCCTGGGCAGTGCTCCTTTGCCGCCGCCCCCCACCCCACACGCCATCAGCTGCAGGCTTCTCTGCCTGCCACCTAGTAGGTCAGGGAGCTGTCCACATGATAATATTAATATTATACCGTTCTCCTTATTAATGACAGTAACAGCCACAGTAAGCACGTGCTACTGCTGACAGCACTGGTCACTGGGCTAAGCAGTTATTTTCCGGGTGTTCCACTATCTCACAGTCCTTACCGAAGACATACGAGGTGCGCACAGTTACTAACTCCTCTTACAAAGGGAACTGCAGCTTAGCTAGGTTAGAAGTCTGCGGTGGGCTGGAGTGCAGCTCTGGAGTGAAGTCGCTGCCCAGCACGCAGGAGGCCCTGGATTTGCCCCTTAGTGTGGTGAGAAAACACACTTGCCCAGGTCACAGGGCTGGTGCAGGGGTGGCAGGCAAGCCCAGCCCACCTCCTGGTAGGTGGTGAGATGTCCACGGGACTCTGCAGATAGTACAGTCCTATTGTTACTTATTTTTTGTTTTTCTAAGACAGGATCTTACTATGGATCTCAGGGCAGTTCGGGCTGGCCTTGAGCTCACTCTGTAGCCTAGACTGCGCTCAAGCTCACAACGATCCTCCTGCACACTGGGGTTGCAGGCATGCGCCACCATGCCCAGCCCAACAGTACAACTACAGCCCTAAATCTCAGCAGCAGCGTGTTCCCACAAAGCGTACAGATCACAGTCCCAGCCTGCGCCCCTCACGTGCCCTTTGTCTCCAGGAGGTACCCCCATCCTCACTTCCTTTTTCATCTTATAATTTCCCTGCTTATTCAATGTGCATTTACTATTTTATTGTGTTTCTTGTAAACCATCTCCAGCAGGGTAGAACTAAAGAAGCAGACCTCCCAGGGCTGCCTTGGAGGATCACGTGCTGGAAAGCGCCAGGCCCTGTAGAAAATTCAAGTTGCATAAGCAGAGTACCACCCCCAGCGGCAGCCAGTACCTGGGAAGGAGAAGATGGCCTCTCTCCCTCTCTCACTTTTAGGCCTCCCCAGCCCCAGGCTTTGGGCAGGGAGAAGGGGTGGAAGAGCCCACCTGTACAGAAGGGAGACCCATGCTCAGGGCACACTCCTGGGAAGACGTACTCAGCCCGACAGCCTGGGCAGACAGGGCAGCTAGAGGCCACTGGGAGACCCTGGCCCGGCCGGGGATGCGGGGCTCGCACTGGGACGCCAGCTCACGCTGGCACAAAACACAATGCACCGTAATATTAATGACAGCAGACACCTCACAGCCCCTAAACCAGTATGCCCTGGTACCCCCTCCTTCGGCCTACTGCTTTTGGACGATGGCACAGGTCTACTCACCAGGTGTCCCAATTCCCTTCTGCTCCTCACACTGGGTCAGTACGAACCCAGCCAGTGTCTTTCTACAGCTTTCAGGGAAGGAAGGAGACAGGGACAGGGTCCTTGGGCCAAAGTGAACAAACTGTAAGGACAATCTCCAGCTAACTGGCGACTCAATGAGAGAGCTCTTACTGCAGGGGAGGGTAGAGATCGCCGGTGGACAGAGCAGTGTGCGCAGCTGGGTCTCATTCTAGAACCAACAATAGGCGCTAATGCAAGCGAGGTGCACGCCGCGGCAGTCTGGAATACTTTGTTTTTTTAAATGTCTGCTTCTCCACATGATCGGCCGTACTGTATTCATTTATTTATTTTTGCAGTACCGGGGATCGAACCTGAGGACCCTGCACGGGCCAGGCAGGCGCTTTTGCTACTGAGCTACCTCCTTGGCTTTCTCCACATCGTTATCCACAGTGCACACAAAGTGCGCAGCAGTGCGGGGCTTACCCACACACGTGAGCACACACACGCAGTACAGGCGCGCGCGCACTCACATGCATGCGCACACCACACGCGCGTACGCGCACATGAATGAAGGCTGGACAGCCTTGCTGCAGGGTCCAGACAGCCTTGGTTCCCGAGAGAACTAGAACACCAGGCTTTCACCGCCTCCACGTATTCTCAGACCCTGCATCCTCTGAAGCGCCTATCCTGTCCTATCGCTGAAGTTCTGTTATCTACAACCTAGCGCATCCTCTGCCTCTCGCGAATCACCCCGCGGGCCTCTGCCAGGCTAGGCATACGGTCAGGCTACAATGAATAAACACTGGTCACTTCCTAAAGAAAGTCTTCTTCCAGGGCTGCGGTGCTGGGAATACTCAACAGCTGACATCTCAGACCTGCACATCCGCCTCTGCCGCACGTTCCTGCAGGGAGGGGCTAAAATAAAGGTCACTGAGGCAGATGCTGGCCAGGCTCTCCCTAGCAGGCCATGGGGCAGCCTGTCCCAGCCCCTCCCTAGGCCGACGTGGCTGTCCCTGCAGAACGTCAGCTGGCTTCAGGACCTGGGGTCCCCCTCACCCTGCCTCTCTGGCAATGGGTGAAGGAAAGAAGGGGTCCACCCTGTGATTCTGGCTAGAGGCTCCTGCCCTTCCAGGCCCTTATGGGTGGGGAAATCTGGAGCAGGGATTTTGGCCTGGTTTTTCTGCGAACTGGGGCTGGGCCCAGTTTCAGTTCTTCATGCCTTCGACATTCCCTATCCCTGACCTTCAAAAACATGAGCAACATCAATAATAATGATGAATTTCCACTGTGTACTGATCTCATACCGGGCACACAGCTAATTTTACTTACGTTGTCTCCTTTAATTTTTATAGCAACTCCTTGAGATTGAGACTATAATTACATTGCACTACAGACAAAAAAGGTGAGACACAGAGGGGAAGGTGCCCAAGGGTCACACTGAGCTGTGTGCAGGAGAAACAGCCTGCGCCTCGGCCATCTGTCCATCCTCCTGGCATCCTTATGGGAATGGGTACATGGGGTCCAGCCTGTAACAGCATCTGCAGGGAATCCACCAAGTGTTTACATTTGTAAGTGAGAAAAACAATCCCCAAAAAGACTAGGAAGGGGACACCAGTGTCATCTGGCAAGACTCCAGCTCCCAGGCCTCAGAGTGGCAGGCTTCTTCCCTCAAACTGGACCATCCCCTGGCCCAGTTCTCAAGGTGGTGCCGCAGGCCTGCAAGGAGCGCTCATGACCCCTTCAGCTCTGGACCCCTGGGGGCATAAGCCCCTGGCAGCTGCCAGTCTCAGCGGCCTGCACCTCTCTGCGTCCCAGGGGTGACTCACTCCAGGGACCCAGGGGAAGCACAGCCTGTTTGCCCCGCCTCCAGCTCCCGCCTCCACATTTGCTAACCGAAACCGGCTGTTGCTATTTTTAACCCTCCAGCTCCCCCTTGCCAGGGGCTCTCCCCTCACCCCCATGCCCCTGTCCTATCTGAGTGCCACCAGTCCGTCATTCTGAGAGCAATTCTACAACTTGAACGCCCCAGAGGGCACGGCGGATGCCCCGGTCGTTTGGCCCAGGTTTGTGGGGCGAACAAAACATGCCGGTTACAGCCCTGTTGCCAAATTCCCCCACCCCAGACTCTTTCCGAACCTGGTCTCCAGCTTGCCCCTCTCCTCCTGCCGTCCTGGGGACTGGGGGTGGGGTACAGGGCAACAGGACTGCTCACGCTGGAGCCCAGCAGGAGACAGGCTCTAGGGAGCTAGGCAAGGAAATGGGGTCCTCTGGTAACCCGAGCTTGCGAGGTGGCCTTGAAAGCATATTTCTGAGCATCCCTGCAGGCCACACAGGGAAAGGAAGTGGCATGGTGACAGGGTGGGCACAGTGGCTGTAGACCGGCACCTCATTAGGAGCCTGAAGCACAGGTCTGGCTGGACAGGTCTGGGAGGCTCAGGTCTCTGGGAGCAGCAACGGGACAGGCCAGGGTAGACAGACCACAGGCTGGTGGTGAGGCCGCAGGAAGGCGGACCAGACCTTCTCTCCACTCCGGCTCCTCTAATCCTAGGCCCCTGAGGAAAGGGCTGCACCCGGAGAAGTGCTGGCTGTCCCACAGACAACCTCTGAGACAGCAGGCTGCAGGTGAGCGGTCAGGAGGCTGCTGGCCTAGTACACAAGGCAACCTCCTGCCTTGCTCTTAGCTGACAGTGGACAACCCTCTGAGAGCTGGGGGGTGGTGGAGGAGGGGCTACAGGTGGACCCCAGGGGGCCTTTCTTCCCAGGAGACACACAGCAGGTGGTTTGAACCAGACCCTTCTGCCTTAGGCCCCTGTTCTGAGAGGCCCGCCCACTTTGGGTGGTCTCTGCGCTCGCTCAGGTCCTGGGCCCTGCTTCGCCAGCCTCAGCCTCTCTTGAGCTCTGTCCTCCACCCTTTCTGCCCCAGCCCTTTCGGATGGCTCTGCCCTTTCTCCTGGGCCCAGATCCTCCCTAAGGCTTGGCGCCCTTTCCCCTTGGTGATTGCTGGTCTATATAAATAAACCCCACTGCAGCAGCCAGGCCTGACCCCCAGCCAGCGGGCAGGGAAACTTGGCACTGTCCTTCCTGGTGGGAAGGTGGGGAGGAAGGGCAGAAGGTGACGCAGGAGAGGCGGTGCCTAGAATGCCCAGAGAGGCTGCCTCGTCCCCACAGGGCCCTGGACTCAGCAACAGAGCAGCCTGGGGGCCACTCGGTGGGTATCACTGCCTCTCCACCTGCCACCCTCTGGGGCTGCCTGGGGAGAGAAGAGTGCGCTGTCTTCATGCAGGAGACAGGTTAGGGTTCAGGTGGCATACGAGGCCCCACTCGGCCTACACCACGTCCAGGGAGTCCCCAGCACAGGCTGTCTGGAGCGGAGAGGAGGAGTGGCTGGTGCCTCCCAGCAGGACGCCCATGGCCACCCTGAGGAAGTTCCACCTTGCTACTTTCTGTGTTGCACTGGTTCATTTCCTTTGTAGGGCTTATCATAAAGCATACACAAGCACACAGACCTGTCCTGTATCGCTAACCTGTTCTCGCCAGTCTGGTCCACCAGAGTGGAAGTTCCCTGAGGTCAGATGTGTCTCCTCTACACTCACCGTGCACCTGTGCCCAGGAAGCAGTACACAGAGTGCCCAGGTACCTGGTGTGGATGCAGGGCTAAGCGGCCAGCCTGGCGGGTGCAGGCCCTGGCTGCCTACACTGACCTGTAGGGTGGATGTGGCAGTCCAGGACTATTCTGCCTAAAGAGCAGGACACAGGACAAGGTCAGCAAAGCCAGGACTCCAAAAGGAAGGCCAGCCCCCAGCAGGCTCAGCAGCTATACCAGGCCAATCTGGCCCCTTGCTCACATTTGGTGGGAGTGTGCACGGACACACACACACACACACACTCACAGCGGCTCCATGTGTAAGGGCCATGTCCTGCCTTGACAGGCAGGAGGGCTCATGCTGTGTCCCAGTGCGTTATTTTTCTGTGTTTTTCAATGCTGAGGGTTGAATCCAGGGTATTCACGCCACCCTATACCCCAGGCCATTTTTTATTGTGAGAATGAGTCTCGTTTTGTTGCCCTGGCCAGGTTTAGGTTGTGATCCTCCTGTCTTAGCCTCCCAGAGGGCTGAGATTACAGCCTGTGTCAGCACACCCTGATGGTTCTTAGTAGCCCTGCGACTGTGGGCAAACTACGTGCCTTGTGTCGGTCTCAGTTTCTTAAAAAAAAAAAATATGCACCAGAATCACCTTAAGTGCATGTTAAAATACAGATCCCTGGCTGAGTGTGGTGGCGCAGGCCTGCAATCCCAGGGCTGTAGCAGGCCGAGGCAGAATTACACGTTCAAACCCCACTTGGGGACTTTAGCAACTTAGTGGGACCATGTCTCAAAAAATAGAAAGGACTCGGGCTACAGTTCCGCGTGAAAGCCCTGGATTCAATCCCCAGCGCAGGCACACAGGTCTCGTAGTTGTAGGCAGTTTGAGTCAGGCTAGGAAACGGCCTATGGCCCAAGGATGCTTGCAGCACAATCCCTCTGGTTCTCAGAAGCAAAAGGCCCAAGAGCTGGCATCAAAGGACAATGTGGGAGATGGCACTCTACAAACAAGCACCTGGGTTCTCCTACAGACCCACTGTGGAACAGGTGAACAGCCCCCAAAGCACCCACTTCACACGCCCCCACATGGCCAAGCTGCAAGGTGGGGGGCTCTCCAGACGCCGCACGTCTGCGCTGTGTGCATCCATACCACCGAACACCCACCACACAGTACCACATGGGTCACAAAGTGCCACAGACGGGGCCAGGGAGGCAGCTCAGTAGAATAGGCACTTGCCTGTGCAGGGTCCCCAGTTCAATCCCTGGTACCACAAAAAAATAAAAAACAACAACACCACCACGGCCACAGATCCACCACAACACGCCCAGGCTGGCACAAGCACACGGACACCCACCCCACACCCAGCACACATACATCACATGGAGACCCACACTAAACAGATGCTATTCTGAATTTATTTCACCACTGGGAACTGGTCCAGGACCAAGGAGCTCTGCTCCAGGGAGGAAAACATCCCTCCTGCCTCCGCCATGCCATTCCCACCCCTATGAAGCCCATGGTCCACCTCTCCAGCTGAGGCTAAAGCAGGCAGGAGAGGAGGAGGGGAGGAGGGAGGCACAAGCTAGGCTAGTGACCCCCGCTGCTACAGGCCCCCAAGTCCAGCCCCCCTGCTCCTCCTCCCTAGGAGATGCCAGAGGGCCCTTTCCCAACCCCCCAAGCCAGAACCTGGTCCTAGGGAGCCACAAAGACTACAAGGTGGCTAAATATGGGGGCTCCTCCTCAGATGCAGGCCTCTGAGGAAAGGCTGTCTGGGGGTACCTTCCTGTAGTCCTAAGGCCTAGGTCCCCCAGGGAAGGTTTCCACAGAAACAGGGGAAAATATTATAAGGAAACACAATACCCGGCAGGGTCACCTGCTGACCAGGCTTCCTGATGTGTTGCCCACCCCCGTGTCACTGCCCTCTTAGCCTCCTTCTCAGCCTCGGCTCTAGACTCCTGGCCAGCACCCTTTCCTGCTTCCCCTGGGTGGGGGTGGGGGAGATCAGCCTCAAGCAGAAACCCAGGCCCCCAAACATCAGGGATGGCCCAGAGTTGAGCCCCCCAATCCTAATCCCCACCAACCCCCTAGCACAGGAAATCAAAGCTTCCTGCCCTGGAGGAAGTGCCCATCTAGTGAACAAATCCAACACACACAAACACAGTCCTGGGAGCCTGGGCCTCCAGGGGACAGATGCCATCGCCAAGCCCCAGGCCTTACCAGGCCGTTTCCAGTAGTAACATGGGACCCTGTGAGGCGCCAGCCCACGTGTGACCAAGGACAGGCGAAGGCCAGAGCCAGGAGAATGGGTACTTCCAGAGGCGCAGGGCTGGGCCCAGCCTGCATGGACGGCCGTGTTGACCAGTCCTTGCATTAGCTCACCTTCTCTAAGGCCTCTACCAGCCTCAAAACTATCAGCTCCTCATGGGAGACTGCGAGAAAGAAAACAAAGGGAAGGGGCTGCAGGGCCTCTATGTTCCAAGTCCCCAGCTCACGTACTTCAGCTACAGGTCCCCACTCCCCACCCCATTGCCAGGGAGCTTCTACTTGCCCAGAGGTTTTACCTCAGAGCTCAGAAAGGGGGCTGGGGAGATAGCTCAGTAGAATAAAGGCTTGCCTGGCAAGCACAAGGTCCTAAATTCAATCCCTGGTACCTGCAAAAAAAAAAAAAAAAAGAGAGAGAGCTCAGAAAGTTCCAACACTTGTGCCCCAAAACCAACAAGGTCTAAAGCTGAGGCCTGTTGTCCCTAAGGCAAGTGGGGGACATAACAGCCCCCATGGACACTGACTTCTCTCTCTGTGGCCAGTCCCTCTGGCTCTATGCCCTGGGAGGTGTACTTGGAATTTTCTTCCCATTTCAGCAAGGCAAAAAGTGACCTTCGGTATCAGTGTAGAGCAGCCGTCTCAGAAATGCAGGGTCCCAGGTAAGCCCTGGTGGCCACGGAGACATCCCCCAGTAGCTGAACTGAGGGACAGCAGCCTCAGGGAAACCTTACCCCTAGCCACTCCAAGTACAGCCCAAGGGGAGGCTCTGATCCAGGCCATGGTCCAGTCTCCTTCCCTGGGTAACACACACACACACACACACACACACACACACACACGGTGCTGGGTGCCTCAGTTTCCCTCAGTGGTGACTGCAGAGGAGAAATGCCTAATAACTGAGGTGGGTAGAAAGCAGGGCAAGCCTGCTCAGGGAGGGAGGGAAGGAGGGAGAAGCCAGAGAAGGGCCAGTGAGGGTGCTGCTCAGAGGGCAGAAGCCGCGAGGAGGAGGGGAAACGAACCTTTGGGGTGCTGCCTGGGAGATGGGCCACCCGCCGCCCCTTAGAGGGCAGCAGCCTGAGTCTGGTCTCCTGCTTTCCAGCCCAAGTCTGGACGGCCTGGATGGCGGTGCCTGAGTTCAGGTGTAAGTCTGCATGAGGCCAGATGTCGACGGCGAATCGCAGCACCCTATCCTCACCCTGACACTAGCAGGAAAGCCGCGCACCAAGCAGATGCCAACCAGGGGGATGGGGAGGGAGGGCAAGGCGCCCGCCGGGCAGCCAGCGGGACAGGAAAGAGTGAGGAGCAGCGAAGGCTGGCCCACAGGGGACGAGGCGGTGGAAGGCTCCGGGCGGCCGCGGGCCCCAGAGGGCTCTCTCCGACCTGCAGGCCTAGAAACCGGTCGTGGGACGCCGTTTGGCTGCCAGCTCGGCCCCCTCCGCCCGGAAGCGCGCACAAGCCGTGCCCTGCCCGCACCACACCGCACCGCACGCCGCAGTCCGCACTCCCGCCCCGCTCCGGCAGGCTCCGCGCTCAGCCGGGCACAGGTGCCTGCTCGCCCTCACGGGAGAGCCGGAGCGGGGCGAGGCTCCGAGACACCTCCCGGCCCGCCGCCGGGCACCGCTGACTCCGCGGAGGGCCCTCCGCCGCCGCC